TCTTAAACAATAAACTCATTACCTGGTAACAAGGAGAACGCCGATACCAGCGCACCGGCAGTAATAATCTATCTCTCGTGAACAGCCATCGCCCAGGTTCGAGCCCCCTGTAGCAGCAGAACGATTCTCGAACGACCGATTCGCGTTTGATCGATCGCCCGACCAGTCCCGCTGGTCGTAAGCGTGCACAACGATCTCTCAGCCTCCTCTTCTTCTTCCTCCTCCCCCGTCTTTTCTCTTTCTCGTTCTTCCTATTCTCTGCCGCGGTTCTCTCGAACGCTCATCCAGAGCACATCACTCGAGGTACGCTCTCAGTCTTTTACTATTTGTTCGCAACAAATCACCAATGCATCGAACGAACGAAATATATCTGCTTCCGCGATAAACCTTTTATTGCGTCATTTTCATGCTCCGGTCAGCTTGGAAAATTTCTTCAGTCGTTCCCGACAATTTCACGTAAGAGACCAATTCTCGTGCACGGCGAACGTCGTTTAAGATGTTACAATTTCCGTGAATAAGTGAAGTTACAGAAAAGTCAGCTTCGAAACAACTTGTCGAAAAAAAGAACAACGGACTTTGTAACGCGTAAAGCGAGAGAAAATCTAGAAGCGGAAACCGCCAACGATTTTTGCTAATGTGCGAAACCCGATTGGAAAATGAACCGTATTATCTTTCATTAACGTCGGGCGTGATCTTAAGTCGCAACGTAATAAATCTCAATAATCTCGTAGTTGGAGCGATTAACGGGGCGCCATCTTCCCGCGAAGCGCCCTCGTTGGAAATCAGGGTTGTTCCCGTGAAAGAATTCCGCGCCGACAATATCTAATCAGGCGATTGTGCGCGGAGGGGGAGTACCCGTTCCCATGGAATGTTAATGCAATCTTCATCGGCGTTCTTCTTCGGAGAGTACGCGATGTTACGGGTCTACTCGTCGGTGCGAGACAACCGGAGCGTCACGACGTCTGCCGACCTTCGGGATCACACGCGCGCATTGTTGCGCAATAACATAATGCCGCGGGTTTCTCTTGATTATCCGCGAGCAGCGAGCGGTACAGCGAACAATTGCAGCGGGGCGCGCGCCGACCGGAGGATGCGCAGCTGCGCAGATTTATCTACATTTAATGAAACAGCCAACTTCCTTCCCGCGATTTCTTCCGCGTTGATGTCGAAGGGTCACCCTACTCGCTTCCCTACCGTTCCATTCCGCTCCCGACTTTTCCTCAACGACAGAGGATGCACTTATGTAATTTCCTAAATGTTTTCTACCGCTGTACACCATTGACCTCGCAAGGTTAGCCGGGTTAGAGCAGAGAGAGATTACGCGAGCTCTAAGGATGTGTACGCCCGTGTTGCTCCCTCCGTGCGCAATGATCTCTGAATCCGTGCATTATCTCGTCGTGCATTATCTCGTGGATAAATGTTTCATTGTTGTTCCTCTTTGCACGGCACGTTTCTGTCGATCGCCTCGGCTCGATACCGGCGCGATTTATATATGATTCGAGTCGATATCGTTGCGAGTTCTCGTACCGAATTATTTCGCGGCGTTTATGAATACGGATGCTCCCGATTAAACAGCCTCCGCTGAAACGAGCGTATATCAAATAATTATTATTCTCCTATTCAATTTGCAATGCCAATTAATATTAATGTTACACCCACAGCTCTCACAATAAATCGCCCCGAAATAAATTAACGCTAATTATTTGACCGAATTCCGCGTAGCGTGCGCGATGGCCGAGGATCCTTCTTGCATAACGAATCGGATTAAAAGGACGTAACCGCAATTTGGTATTTTTCATCCAGTTTTATTACGAAAATCGAGATAAACGGAGAAAATTTCTAGTTTTTTTCTCGTTTCGTTTTTTTTTTGTCTTTTTTGCTGTTTCTCCTTTTCTTTTCACGCCATTTTTTCCATTTCTCTTCGGAGAAGATTAAAGCGAATTATGCCTGCAGCCCGAGTTGCGCGCTTGTTCAGGAAATTTGCTTCAGCAGTTGGGTCGCTCATGCATATATTCACGCCGGTGCTCTCTTTTCCACGGTTTCCTCAAACACCGAGGGCCTCAAAAAGCGCAGCTATGCTACTTTTGATACGGTTCCGCCTGGCCAAGGACCTCTCGACCTTGTCTCGGGTCGGAGTCGACCGGGGCCAGCTCTGGGGTCGGTTCCGAGAGACCAGCTGGCAGAGACCTTTCGCTTTGGAGGCTTTCAAGGTGTGCACGTGCACATTCACCTGGCACGCTCGGCCTCACGGACGCGAACCTTGACGCGTCGGCGTGATACCGCATAAACGCGCGCTGCAACACCGAGCTTTATCGAAATCGGAAGACGCGCCGACCCGTCGTCTTCCGCATACTTGGCCAATGAAAAGTGTCTGATACCTTGACACTTGGTTTCCCACAACTAACTCATCTAATTTTATCTATGTCGTGGCGGCACCGCCGTAGAAAATTTAAACCAACCAGCGCCCTTTTAATAATAGACGTAAACGAAACATCGCAAAACGTGTGCATACAATTTATAAAAATATAGAAAATAACATATCGATATGTATTTTACATATGTAAAAATATGTTTATTTAAAATAAAAAAAATATTTTTCGACACGACTTTTTATCGAGCAAACACGTGTTACATTCGAAATGCTTGGCGCATTCAAAGAGCATTTCAAAGCGAGTAAAAATATTCTTACCACCACGTGTGGTAAAAAGCGCATTCCAAAGGCGAATGTAATTATAGATCAGCGCTGTAATTGATAGATGGGCTGTGCGGATTAGCATATAAATCAACATATGGTGAATCGTAGAAAGTCTTCGGATCGATATAATCATTACTTTCGCGGGAAAAATTCTTAAGTGTCTAACGGTCAATCGTGGCACGAGAAATCATTCTTGTCTAGACGCTCACTTGTAACCGATGATAACGATCGGGGAAGGAGAATTGGCAATAACGATGCGCGCACAAAAACGCCCTTCTCCCGCAAGTGAGAAAGAACAGGAATGCGGCACTGCAAATATTCGTATGTCGAATACTCAACTTGCGTATCAAAGGGAATACGAAACGCGTGTGTGCGAGCATTTCGCGCGGGACAAAATTCGCGAATTTTAACGTATGAAAAATAAATCTGATTACCGGAAGAACGTAACACCATGTAATTGGTACCGCATGAATATCTCATCCGTTCGCTCCCATCCGTCCCGTTGAAACGGGATATCCGTTTTTCACGCGATTTTCATACACGTAATGTATTATACGAAGAATAGTTCGCATTACGCGATCGAAACAGTTTGCCATATAGCGGTGCGTGTGAAAGGGAGCAATTAAAATGCAATATAATCGTGCCATAAAGTAACACGATACTGGTGCCACTCTATACCTCTTCCCCCCTAAGCTATTCTTCTATCTCGCTCCCTCGTTCGTTGGGGAAGTAATGAAAGTGCATCGGTCATTACGCTCCGGATACTATACCGAGCGCATACGAAGAACGCGCTATCCGGGGTCCAGGCGGAACTGCATTATTTATAAGCGCGCGCAATAAGGACGCCGCGATACGCATTACTGCATCCGGTTACGCGCCGTTACGCATTACGATAAATAAGATCAACGCGACGATGCATGTGATCTGCAACAAGGACACGTTTGTCAACGCCGGATTACTGGCGCCTACGCTCGTAAAACACCATAGGTTTGCTTCAATGTCTAGTTCGTTAGCTAGTAAAGTCTCGTAGCGTATCAATTTCTTCGGGCATTATATAGCCAGAAGTAGTCTATAAATTTTCAAGTACGATTGCAAGACGCGATCAAGATTAATTGATATCATTACGTATGATGCTCATTCGAGTATGTTGAAAATAAATATTTTATTTTCGTACGAATAAAAAGAAATTAAAAGGATTAATTTTATATGCATTTTATTCGATAAGAGATTCAAATAATTTCTTCGGGCATTATATAGCCAGAAGTAGTCTATAAATTTTCAAGTACGATTGCAAGACGCGATCAAGATTAATTGATATCATTACGTATGATGCTCATTCGAGTATGTTGAAAATAAATATTTTATTTTTGTACGAATAAAATGAAATTAAAAGGATTAATTTTATATGCATTTTATTCGATAAGAGATTCAAATTCAACAGTAAAAATTTCATTCGTATGTGGGTACCGTTACTATTACGATGACTTATTAATGTCAGTGGTGTGGCGAAATATAATATATCACACCGTGCATTTATGAGGATAACAATATATTGACACGAGCATTTTTTTATTATATTTTTCATTACACTTATCGTCATTTCATCGTACTTGTATATATTTCTTGTACAAAATATCATCGTACTTGTATATATTTTCATCGTACTTGTATATATTTTCATCGTACTTGTATATATTTAGATAATTCTCTGCATGTTTAATTAATTTTCCAATTAATTTTCTCGTATGCGCATCTACTAGTTTATTTTCAAAAATATCACAAGCAAACATAAGAAGATTCGTATAGGTTCTTTTAATAAGATTTCTTCGCGCTATCATTCCATATAATAAAATTTAGTATTATCCTGCACCTTATTCTTACTTATACCATCGCGGAAACTTCTCTCGAAAACAGAGCAATTTTAGCGCGGACTAGATTGACCCTTTCTAGCTTTTCCTACCGTATTCTTAGCCATTTTCTTTCGCATGAAATGTTCAAGCGTACGGTTCATGTCTGAGAAACACTCGAGAGTGTATAGGAGCGTAGTGTAACGTCGTCTAGCTAGTCCAAGAATCCAATAAGTGGAAAATGCATCGGAGCGTACGCTTCTCGAAGGCTACTCGAACCGGCGTTCCCTCTGCGTACCGATTCACGACGAATATTACGACGAGTCGATTCCTTCTTTTGCTCTACGTAGACACGGTATCCGCGACGAAGCGGATAGGGAAGTAGATCGGTGGAAAACGAGCAATCGGACAATTCTACGCTTACGTATATAAGTTGGAAAACGTTCCGGGTTACTCACCGACACAGAAAGTCTCGCTCGCCGAGGCAGAGCTCGAGGCAGTGTTGCCTCGAGGAGGCGGTCATGGTTCTGCGTGCGTGACCCTGAAGACGGTATCCCTGGACTCTATCGATGCACCAAGCGCGCTCGCAAGGCTTCACCGCCAGGCAACTCTTTTGGGCGTAAATCGTGAACACGGGAAACTGGGATTGCGATAGTGCACCTGAAACATGGAAGAATGATTCCAAATTAATTCGGCATACAATATTATATTAAAAATATTTCAAAGACGACATTGCAAGTGATTTTAGGAAAATATTTTATTCATCTTTTATATATTTTATATCTTTCAATCCGCTTGATTAAAATATTCATCATCAAAATTATCGTGAAAATTGGAATTTACATGTACATTTGTAAAGTGTAAGAATATTATTTCAAAAATGACGTGCGATGTTTTATCTTTCATCTTTGATAACCGAGCTTTACAATATTGTGTATAGGCTATTAAAAGTGGTATACAGTGTTATATATCGTTCAGGGTCGATGCGTGTGATATTTCGGTATTCTATAGACGTTGTCGGGTTGGACTACAATTTTGATAGATCAGCGCGTTTATCATTCACCGGTGCGAATACTATGTTCTTCCTCGGTTATTGGCTCGCGTCGCGATAAGCGACGAAGTAGACACTCCACCCACGTCTCGTCATACGTCATCCGCTCTTTGCTAAATCGTAATTAATCTCCGCTATGTGACGGGAGCTTCGATCATGACTCGTGGAAAACTTGCAGTTGAAGTTGGGCTTGTTAGAAAGAGAAAAGGAAAAGAAGAGGAGAAAAATTAAAGAGATAAGAGACGACAGAGAAAATAATAGTAAAAATTTAATAAAATTTTTTCCAATCAAGATATACGTTCTTTTTAAGTATATACTTTTCTATAATTGTGAAATTTAATCGAAAGCTATGCGTTAATTGAAAAGGGAATATTGATGTTTCATTTTAGATGAAGAGATTTTGTTTCACATGTATAAATAATAAAGGGCATTTATGTGAGAGACAAGATGAAAAATTACATAAAACTCGAAGGGGACGTAATAAGCTATTAAGATAATGAAAAATACTTGAGAGATTGCGAGAGGGGATGGATGAAGGGAGATTTTCTGAAGCGCGACGAATCGAAACGCGGCACGTCGATCTTCAAAGAGGCGCTAAAGATATTCAATTACCTGCCATCAGCAGGTCACGCCTTGCGAGGCCGTGCAAGCTAATGCCGTTGCCTGTTTTTAATGGCGACTATGCGAGACTGTGGTCGAGGTTGCGGCCACGGCATAGATGGATTCTTTACAGCGATCAACCGCGGTCGACTTACCCGTGAAACTTCAAATTGTAGGAAGATGTTACCTTATTGTAGACTGAGAAACATACGCGCCACATTATGATCATGAATGCCCACTTCCGGAGCTCGCAAATTCACACGCAGAAGAAACATCACTTATTCTTTATAATACTGTCGTATTACACGCGATAATGGCACATTATCGAATCTTAAATATATATATTTTACGTAGGTACGAATACAATTTTTCAACATGTTTTAACTTTTCATCTATCTACATCTCATTTCCTATATTTTCTCTTTTTTCCTCATTTTCCGATAGCTTTTTTACACCTTTACTGGTTTGGAATCTGTTAAAGTAGAGAAAGACACACATGGATAGATATAAAATGCGGAGATAATATTAAACAGAGCGATGATTATTAAAAGAGAGCAAAAAAATTTTTTCGCAATATATGGTATAATATATCGTATAACCGCGAGCTTTCACATTTTGAGGTAGGATTTGTGACCTCTTTCCAATTAGAGAAGCGAAATCGTTATTTCGATGAGTACAAAGCGCAATTCACCGCGGAATCAGCATACGCATAGTAAAACATTGCCGGAACAAGCACACTCCCCCGCACTCCCGATCGATTCCGTTGTTTTACGTGGGATGTGTATTTGTTATATTCGATTCGCGGAGAATGGTACATACAGCAGTACACGTGTGCTATCCATTGGCAGTATCATCACGTGTTTTCACCGTTCGTTTAATTACTTAGTTTTGTACCGTGTGGGTTTACACCTTGAAAGAAATGAATATAACTACCAATTCATACATAAATTTATTACCGAACGTTAATTAAAATTCAAAATGCAGGAGTGTGTTAATACGAAATGGGTATTTATAGATCATATTTGCATAACTAATAATAAGAAACATAATAAAGGGATACACCGTTGTGTCAATTTTCTAGCGTTTTTCCATTTGCATTTCATTAGTGCAATCTTAATGAGGCCTATAGAATATATTTATACGCTGAAATGTAATCGCGATCAACGCACTCTCCTAAACTAAAGCAGCGAAAATGAATACTGATTAAAACGATGACAAGATTGCACGGCCTGCAATGCCGCATTTATAATTGAAACTATTTTTCATCAGTGATAATATACCGGTTCCATTTAATAGAGCAAACACGTAAACCTAGATTAGCAGATGTTGACACTCCCCGCTAACATTGCACTTAAGAAAATTCTCCCGACTTGGAAGATGCATCATACTTATGCGGGAGGAAATGATTCGTTGAACGAGCACCTAGTAGATTTTTATCGCATTATGATGATCCTAAATTATGGACTCGGTATCGATAGAAACACCTTGATAACGTATCGGGACACGAAATAGCGTTTCATCTAATATCCCTATCATAAATACTCGAAATGTTCCGTGAATCAATCGTAAAGCAAGGACGGCGGTGGGAAGAAGGGGTGGAGAAAATTTTCGCTCGCGGCTTGTCGCGAAAGATGGTCGGGGCGCATCTACGACAGAGTAGCGCGGCCATCTCGCGAAATGACACACGTAAACCATCCCCGTACATGAGCGCCAAGGAATAGTTCGATTTCTGATATACGGGGTACATTTAGATACGATTTCAGCTCAAGCAGCATCGGCAACGACGTCGTCGCCCTGAATCTGATGTATAATCTGGGCTTTCTCGGAGCTCTCCTCTTTTTCCCTCCTTTCTCTTTTTCTCTCTCTCTTCCTCCCCGCGACTTCTCGTTCCGGCGCGCCAACAAAGGCAATGAGATTCCTTTTCTATATTCTACGCGGTTAGACTTTCAGCGATCTGCAGCAATGAATGTCACTGCGAATGCGGTACGAGAACCTGTTCGGAAGGCGTAATCTCTGCCTCAGGTAGCTCGATAAAATCGTAAATAAGGTGAAGTAAGCTGACCTAACTGCTGGTTCCGCGTAGAGTTGTTAATGCTTTTTACATGTGTTAATCAATTCTGTTTTTATCGTAAAATACTGGACAACGACATATGTAAAAGCGGCAATATAAGAGCTTACCTTGCCGAGATAGGATAACATTTTTACGATTTTGCGAATCAAATCAATGCAAATCAAGTAAATGAAGATGATGATGATCATGATGATGATGATGATGATGTTGATAGCGATGTCTGCGTATATATTAAGACTCTAAATTTAAATTTTATTCGTGTTTCGACGTTTATTGTATGCTGCTCGAAAATTTACGTTAATTATATGTATTATAACGGCGAATAAATGAAACAGGTTAGATACCGAATGGGATCTTAAATTATATTCGCTCTGACAGGCATTCATTTATTTTTAATCGTTAGCAAGCAGTTACTCAAATGCTTGATCGTTATACTTTTTTTTCGAATATGAGTTTTTTAACCTTAACCTTAACTCTGATTTCTCATCTTTTCGTTCATTCACCCGTAAAACTTGTCTTTTTAATATTTTAGCTATTAATCTAAGCTACTAATTCAAATACCGTTTTTTACAATTTTATCTTTCCTTATTAAATTTATTCTTAATTATTGGAATATTTTAATCTTATCTTATTTATTTATTTACTTATTTATTTATCTTTTGGAATTATATCTATAAAGTATTTTTATATATTATATATGATATTATATTTTATATATGATATTATATTTTATATATTATATATGATTTTTATTCGTGTTTTTTATTAACATTTAACAAGGATCTTTTCTTTTAAGCATATTTTCATGCTCTTCTCGTTTGATTTAAGTATACATGTGAGCTGGAGTGTAAACGAGAAAAGGAAAGAGGAAAGGATTTATACAGGAAGGTGTAGGATACATGCCGTTAAATAGAACAGAGCCTATGTAGCTTGTATCATTATCTGTATCTAGCTATTTTATTCAACTAACTGTATGTAGATATTTCAATATCGCAGGCTTAGTAACAGGACTGACTTTACAGTACGTCATGCGCTTTGTTTCGCGTAGGCGCACAATAGTTGAAACACTCGTGAAGTCATCCCGCACTCCGAAACGTCCGCGTATAAAGGTTGCACATTTATTTGCACGTTTGTCTCCTGACGCATAATTGCGGATGGTTGTTATACGTACTTAACGCACCGTGTAAAGTCGCAGTTTTTCAACTAGCTGCCGCGCCGGACGGCATAATTGTCCCCGGTTTCTGCGAGTCGCTTCGGTTTTCTGAAACGACGGGCGTACATATGCGACGTGTCTGTCTGACAAGCGTTACAAATTTACCTGACACTCTTTGTACACGCGAGAACTTCGCGAGATATGATCTAACATATTTCTTTGTATAATTACGAAAAGTAAATTAGAATTGTACAGCCACTTTGCCTTTGTTCTCGACGGACTGTCTATGTCACTGTCACTCCCGTTTCTCTTATTCAAATTTGAAGTTACCATACAAAGTTCTAAAAATCTAGACGCTAATAGATGCGAGGATAATGGACAATATTCTCTCTCTTGGCACATAAATCTATCTAGTTATACATCTATCTCCATCTGACCGTAATATGTACATTTAATGAAAGAATTAAAGTAAATTGTGTACCACTGTTGCCTATGATCGATATTATATTCGAATCTAAGAGCTTTCAGAACGTATTCCATTGTTTCGTATACACGCAACAATTTATAATCTTCTTAGAAGAATTTAATAATTTTCAATTTCAATATTATAGTCTTATTTTAATATTGTAATGGTCTCCTCAAGAATATATAATCATTTAATTCTACTTTAAGAAAATTATAATCTTTGATTTCAAAATGTTATTTTTCATCTAACATTGTTTCTTTTCCATTCGAGAAAATTAAATCTTAAATCATGAGAATATATTTTTCTCGATTGAACTATA